CTCCCTTACTCCTTACTGCCCTCCATTACCCCCGTCTATCCCTTACTGCCCTCCATCTACCCCCGTCTATCCCTTACTGCCCTCCATCTAACCCCCCTGTCTACCCTCCCCTACTGCCCTTCATCTACCCCCCCTGTCTACTCCTTACTGCCCTCCATCTACCCCCTGTCTTATTACCTTCCCCATCCATCTTTCTTTTCCTTAACGCCTCCTGTTACCCCCCCAATCCCACGTTACTCGCGTCTTACTCCGACACTCCGGCATTATGTGTCATCCTGCCTCTCCCCAGGTTTATACAGTCTTGCTCTCTCTCCTTCCCCTTCCCATGCCCCCCCACATCGCTCCTCACCTTAGCCTAGTATCGCTCATGGATGCCCATATTATATAACCTCCCCCCCCCCTTTCGCTGTATAATGGTAACGCTTCAGTAGTGCCCGCACCCCCTTCGTTTGTTCAGTGGGAGGAATTTCCGGAGCAGTATCTTCTGACAGCTGCAGGAAGGCTGTTCGTTGGACGCGAGGAGATACGGACTTATCTGAATGTAGGACATGGTCTCTGTGCCATGCAGGCTTCTCGCTCGGCCGCCCAGTTTTCTCACGCTGTCTGATGTGGGTTCTTCCTCGTAGGAGATGCTCACTGACCACAAGAGCAAATTCAAGGGCCGACTGTTGCTATGGCAACGGATTGCTGTACGTAGGTTTGCTGGTGGGCTGTGTGTGTGTAGTATGTTTCACTTTCTGTGTGTGTTTGTGTGTATGTGTGGGAGTTGTTCTGGGCTGTGTGTATGTTGCTTACAAACTGCACCACCCTTCAGATGCATGTATCACAGCCTCAGGCTGGTGTTTAGGGTGCTGGTGTCTCATCTATGTAATGTGACACTGTGCTGTTAGGTCACTTGCTTCCGAACTCACAGCGGGACAGTTAACTCACTGGTTTCCTCAACCCGGTTATTTTTGACTATAAAGACCATCATTAAGCCGTGTTGACCTGGGGCTCTCAGCCTCTGTCTCATTCATGTCCACAAGCTCACTTGAGCATGTCCATCTTTTGTGTGTAAGGATCTCATGGATCAGCTGGAGAAGCAGGAGAAGATCATCCGCAAATTCAAGAAGCAGCTCAAGATTTTTGCCAAGAAGATCGGCGAACTGGAGGGTAAACTGGAAGATGTCACCACGCTGTACCCCACCAGCATGATCTCAATTCTCCCAGTCATGCACTTCATTCCCCGTTTCTGTCCCACGATGCCCATTGTCCTCTAGGGGGACAGACAGAGGCCGTGTCCCCGGGACAGGTGGCCGATGAGCCGGTGCAGCCTCTAAACATCCCTCGCAAAGAGAAGGACTTCCAGGGAATGCTGGAGTACAAGAAGGACGATGAGGTGAAGTTAGTGAAGAACCTTGTCCTGGGTGAGCAATGTTCTTTGGCTTCTTGAATGAAGTAGGGTGCTGTCCTATTTTTAGCTGGTAAATGGCTGTGTACTCCTGCTCTAAGCATACCAGTAAAGGCCGTGTGACCTTCCTGTGACCCCTCTGTGATACCAAACCCTCCTGTACGGGATGCACAGACCTGAAGCCCCGCGGTGTGGCCGTGAACGTCATCCCCGGCTTGCCGGCCTACATCCTCTTCATGTGCCTGAGGCACTCCGACTACATCAACGACGATCAGAAGGTCCGCAGCCTGCTCACCTCCACCATCAGCAGCATCAAGAAGATCCTAAAGGTGTGGGTCCCTTTCGGGGGGACATTCTTAATTCTAAATCAGCATCTAAAGACATCGGAGGTAGCCAAGCATACTGGGCTCTTGTTTGGTCCATATCGACCTAAACTACGCTTGTTTTTTCAGGTATTTTCCATTTTTAGTAACAGAAGACATTTCGCACACGTCAGTGAACACTGCAAGTCTTATTTAAAAACTTTTTTTTTTAACATGGTTCATTGGTATCAGTGCAGTAAAATAATGTAACACAATACACCTACCCCTTGTTTAGCAAATTCTGTTCCAGCAATTAGGTTGTTAAGCGAAATAGTCACTAAGTGAAAATCCTGGTAGCCGAAAAGCCCGTGAGCGCCACTGTGCTTATGACTCTGATTCAGTCTTCCATACTCTGTTTCTTCTATGCTTCATGAAATGCACGCACTGGTCAGAAATGTTATTTTACCACTGCGAACGGTCAGTAAATGAGCTGGTCGTAATAATGAAAACAGTGTGTGGATAATGAAAACTGCGTTGCCAGGATAGCAGAAAAATAGCCCTGCAAAGTGCAGGAAACAGGGTCTCCATGTGCTGAGAGTAAGTCTGCACAGACCCCGCAGTTCAGCCGTGATGCCTGCTGTTAGTCATGTGACCTGGATGTCCTACAGAAACGGGGCGACGACTTCGAGACCATTTCCTTCTGGCTCTCCAACACCTGCCGCTTCCTGCACTGTCTGAAGCAGTACAGCGGTGAGGAGGTAGGCCAGCGTCTGCCGCATCCTTTCATTTCTCCTCTTTTCCTGCTGTCCCGACGCCGCCCCCTCACCCCTGCACCTTGCCCCTCGCCTCGCAGTCTTTCATGAAGCACAACACCCCCAGGCAGAGCGAGCACTGCCTCACCAACTTCGACCTGGCTGAGTACCGGCAGGTGCTGAGCGACCTGGCCATCCAGATCTACCAGCAGCTCATCAGGTGCATGGAGACCATCCTGCAGCCCATGATCGGTAATGCAAACCATGTTTCACCGATTGTAATGCAACTACGGAAGCCATCTTTATTCTGGAATGTTTAAAAGCGGACCTTCTCCGTCTGATTCCACGTTCCTGTCACAGTCTCCGGCATGCTGGAGCACGAGACCATCCAGGGGGTGTCGGGGGTGAAGCCCACGGGCCTCCGCAAGCGGACGTCCAGTGTGGTGGACGAGGGTACCAACACGCTGGACTCCATCCTGCGGCAGATGACTGTCTTCTACTCCACCCTGTGCCTGCACGGCACCGACGCGGATCTCATCAAGCAGGTTTTCCGCCAGCTCTTCTACATCATCGGCGCCGTCACCTTCAACAACCTGCTTCTGCGTAAGGATATGTGCTCCTGGAGCAAGGGGATGCAGATCAGGTGTGGCATCGCCGAGGGCGGAGCTTCGTAGACATTATACTGCTCAGGATTTAAGAACGTTAATGCTGGCAGGGGGGTAAGCTGGGGGCCCTCCTACACCTCCAGGTACAACGTCAGCCAGCTGGAGGAGTGGCTCAGGGAAAAGAACCTGGTGACTTGCGGCGCCAGGGAGATGCTGGAGCCCCTGGTCCAGGCGGCGCAACTGCTGCAGGTCAAGAAGAAAACGGATGAGGACGCCGAGGCCATCTGCTCCATGTGCCATAACCTCACCACCATGCAGGTAAACCCCCCCCATCTGCTCCATGTGCCATAACCTCACCACC